TCAATAATCTATAATATTTTTAGTAAAATTCCATTAGATGAATTGGTTGATTATATACATTATATTATTTCTAAATTTATTACTTATTTTTTAAAAAATAATTAAAATTAACTAATGACTTAAGAAACTTTTATATATATATATATATATATATATATACATGTATGTAGAAGTTCTATATATATATATATATATATATATGAACAAATATAAGAAAATGATGTGGCATATTTTATATAAATTTTGTATATTAAGAATATGAAAAAATATTAGAAAATATGCCACATCATTTTATGAAATTTAAAAGGTTGATTTTTTTTGAATTACCATAATTCAATTTTTTTAAAAATAAACCATGTCCTTTCCCTTATATTAAATTAAATGACACTTTTTTTCTTTTTGAATTATGGCAAGTGAAGTTTTGAACTACTTCAAGTTTAACTCACTCTAAATTTAAGTTTTATGGTTCACCATATTTATGTATATATATATATATATATATATATATATATACCTGTCATAACCAACTGTAAAGGATTCACTTTAATAGAATTTCAATTTCAGGTAAATATTATTTTACGCTTGGAGATTAATATTATTTTCCAAGCGTAAATTTGGCACTTGACTGAATAAATGTATCTGCAGAAATTCAAAATTAAATATGTTTATTTTTGTTGATGTGTATACATCTATGTAATAAGTTATATAATTTAAAATCTGTATTTTGATGTGTATTTTTATGTATGATATATTTAAGTATATATGTATATATGTATATCATTATTTTATTTTATTTTAATGTATTATAATGAAATATTACGAAATATTTTAAATATTTTAAATCATAGCATAGGAAAAATCATAGCAAAAAACTTGGCTTGTTTACAACACATAGAAATACATTGATCTGTCAAAAATAAAATATTTCTTCAGGATAAAACTTATCATTGTACACCTTGAATTTATTTTATCAAATCTTAATAAAACATATCTAGTAATGATAGAAAATATGGTTTGAATTTTTTTGAAATTTAAGCAAGAAAAAGTAATGAAATAAATTATAAAAGATACTAAAATCATTCAATGATATACTTTATAAGTTAAAAGGCATTATCTTGGCATCATTTAAAATATATATATATATATATATATATATATATATAATTTAATTCTAATTTGCTATGTAAATGAAGAACATGAATATGACAATATCCTGTTCAAATGATCTTTCGAAAATCGAAAACACCCAACACGAAAATACTCAACAATCTCAAAACTTGTGAATACAATCAGTGCATGTAGAACAATGATAAAATACGTTTTGACATCATAACTACATCCAACATGTATATTAATTTATATAATTAAATTATTAATATAGATTGTAAAGATCATAGATTATACTTCAATATATTTAAATAGATAAAATTCAAATTGATAAATAATAAAAAAAAAACTGCTCACTCATTTTTATTTTTATCTTCTACAACTTTACATTTTTTGATTTTGTTTTTATGTTTTTTTGTTTTTCACAAAGAAAAAAAATCTTTATCTAAGAGGAATTGAGTTTTTTTTTATTTAAGAGTGTTTTCTATTAGAGATTATGTGAATGGTTAACAATTTGCACCCATGTATTTTAAAAGATATTCAACACATAGTTGCATAGTCTACCAAGCCATAATATGACCTATAGAGGTGTCATGTGGCCTACCAAATGGTCATGCCCACATGTCTATAGTTAGTTATTTTTACACACAAAAGTCAAAGTTGTAGGTGTTGTTAGAGCATGGATTTGAACTATGCAAGAGAGTGAGGACAAAAAAAAAAAAAAAAAAAAAAAAAAAAACTTGAAATAATTGTCTTAACTTATTAATCAACAATGACATCAAGTTGATGGTTTGAAATTGCATTGTTACTAGGAGAATATTCTGTTTGTTGAAGAATGTGTTAACTACCACTTACATGTTTCTGTTTTGAATTTTGAAAGCAGCAGGATTGTCAACCATCACTAATACAGAAGTTGTCTAAGTTCTCATGCTCTACTTCATATTGTGACAGAGTTGAATATGCTAAATAACATTCTTTACAAATAAAAAATCATTAATTGCACAACTTGATAACTGTATTCATGGATTTGAAATAAAACATATACATACACACACACACACATACATTTATGCATATATATATATATTTATATATATATACATATATATGCACATATATATCACTAAAAGGAAAGAAAAAACAAGCAAACGTACACATCAACATGTACAATTTTATTTTTATTTTTATTTTTCAAAAAGTACTTATTTTGTTGTGTAAGTGACACAGCAATCAGAGGACACCAAGCGCGGTCTGAAAAATGGATGAAAAAGTGCAATCTATATGGATGTGGGTCATATTCCCCATTGGACATGCTTTCATCCATTTTCAAGCAGAACTTCACAGTGGAGAGTCCAACACTGAAATGCAACATAGAACCCCACTCACACTGATGATCAGAATCGTGACTCAGCACATTGTGTCCAACTGGATGCATGGAAGGACCCAGTTTGTGGGCAACACACTCTGGCACAAAGTCCACGTGAGATTCCACGTGGCAATCACCATGTGAATCGGTCCACAAATATCCCATATAGAATAAGAATAAGAAGAAGAATGCATGCTTTTTTAGACCCACAATCAAAGATTTGAATTTTTTTGGTAAAAATTTGAGAAAATTTGATGGTTTTGATGGGTTTTTTATTATATGTTTTTAAAAAAAATTGATTTTTTTTTTCTATCTTTTATTACGATTTGGGTTCTTTAATTAGTATTTTGAATTCATTTGGTTTAAGTTCTTGATTAAGAAATTAAGAAAAAGAAAAAGAAAAAGTAATTCAGAATGATAATCTAAATTAAATGTTATGAGATCATACAATGTTTGAGTTTGGATCTTTGTTTTTTTTTGTGGATGAGAGTTGAACTCAAATGCCAATAGATTAATTCATAGCCATAGATCAATGACCCCTTTCACATGCTACAACCTCCACTGAATGGGTTAGGGCAGTAATGTGGTGTACATGTGACTTGCATCATTAATTGCAATTTTGTTACATATAAATATATGAGATAAATATTAGCAACCAAATCTGTTGAGGGGTTTCTTTCTATTATTCAACAATACAGAATTCTCTCATACATAAAACTGTGACTATATCTTGTCTCAATCTACTCCATCCACTTCATTATAAAATTTTAAAAGAAAAAGAAAAGAAATAAAAAATCGTGCTTAATACAACAAAACAAAAGAAAGATACGATAGTCAATGACTACAAGCCTGTAAGATTACTGCCATGTTGTTTAATAAAACAAATATAATGCAGTAGTCATATTTGCAACAAACAAAATAAGCCTACCTCCTTCAAGTCACATAAAAACAAATCTATAATATTACCATTACCTTTTTCCATTGCATGGAATACTCTCTTAATTGTATTTATGTACATGTATATAAATACGTTCACATACAACAAAAGACGACCCCTTGTTTATACACCTTTACATATACACCTGTATTAAATTCATTTAAGTCATCAAAAATGAAAATTGAGGCACCAAATAAAAAACTTAAAAATATATAATAAATTCTATCAGAAAAAAACATATTACTATATGATAATATTACACAAATATATATTAGTTATTGCTAGTCACAAAAGACCATAAAAATTGTTAGGCTTTTGTGACTCAAAGTAGTTGTTTGATCAATATAAATGGTCTTGTATTTATCTTCATTTATGCTAGTTATCAAAGAAGCTTCATGAAGAGCTTCTAAGTGATTTGGAATTTTTCTGTGAAGTTTCTTAAAAATATTTGTAGAGTATATTTTTATGTCCAACAATTTCATATATCAAGTATAGTCTTATTTATATATTTAATTAAATATTATCATTACTATAAATACAACAAAAAGTTATGATCCAACCATACACTTGCCAGCAAAGAAGAAGATTTAAATTTCTGCACCACAAATTGTTTAAACATTTTATTTTATTTTATTATTTGTGTGTAACAGTTCACAAAATCTTGTATTCCAGATATAAATGAAGAACTATTTAAAAAAATCAAATATCTCTACATATACTATTCTATTCTCCTATTTTTATTTAAAAATTGCAACTATTAATACTTCCTTAGTAATATACAAATAAAGTCACTCTGACAACATTAGAAGAATTTTCTCTCAATCTTAAATATATGTGGAGTTTCCACCCTTGATTCTTGTTCATTTCAACGTACTTTGTTGATATCCTAACCTCCATGCTTCTCAAACACTAATCCCGAACATAAATATTTTCATTATATTTTTTTCTTTTTTTAATTATTATTTATGTTGAAAACTTTATACCATGCCTTGCACTAAGCTGATTGTTAAAATATTCCAGCACTCAGGCGAAGAAAACCCCAAACCCATATCTCATACTGAAAACAAAAAAAAGAAGAAGCAAATTTACACGTGTGAAGTTCACTTCAAAATTTTAGCTTATGTACATTAGATATTGTTTCAGTTATAATCGTATTGTATTGCTTACTTTGGACTATTCTAGGAGGTTTTACAATTTAAATTGCACCGCTTTAAAGTCGTGGGGCGGGCATGGGTGGTAATTCTGCCCAACTCATTAATCCAGTGCGACGAAGATACTTCACAGCGTGCATCTTTGGCCGCACTCCACTCGCTTCCACAGCTCCGAGGGGACTGGTCATAGGGTGGGGCAGAACCTGACACCGAAAGCCGTGAACCCCTCCTTCCATCTGTCCAAGCTCCAGTTCATTCGTTGACATATCATTCATCCATTAAACACTGCCCGCAGCCATCCATCCTGGTTCGATCGTTGTGAACCAGCACCGATCTCCCCAAGCCCGCCCCGCACGACACACGGAAGCTCCCATAGCCGTGCCTAGGCATCTATTCAAATGCAAACAGGGAAGCTATTCAAAACCTTCAACCTTTTCAGTCATTCAGTCTGTCACCCAGTAATCCTGGCGAGTGAGTGAGAGAGTGTCCTGAGCTCCCCCAGTTTCGGAGTCAGATAGATAGAATGCAGAGTTCAGTCATTACGGCGAAGCGTTAAGTGACGTGGAGCGTCATTTTGAGGCAGGCTTTGACTGGATGGGACCAACCGAGAGTAGCAGAATGAGTGCATGAGAGCGAGAGAGAGAAAGAGAAAGAGAAAGAACGAGACGGGGCCACGGAGACGAGGAGGGAAGAAGAGGGCGTGGAGATGGGGGAGCGGTGAAATGCCTCGTGACAGTAGATCTGAGCGGTTGTTGGTGACGGGAACGGGGGTAAGTTGAGTTGGTTTGTGGAAGACGGGAGAGGGAGGGAGGGGGCATCGAGAGTTACGACAGAAGAGGGATCTTGATTGCGATGGTGATAGTTTGGGAGTGTGGACTCATGGACATATTGATTACTCGTTTGCTTGTGATGGGATGGTGATGAAGGTAGACATTATTGTGGGTAGCTTGTGCTGGTGCTGATGCAATGCTGGTAGGTTTGGAGATTTTCTTGATTCAATTCGAGGGGGAGGTTTGTGAGGGAGGGGGCGAGGAATAGTAGTGGAAAGTGGAGCTGACAGGGAAGGTTTTGTTAATCCTTTCGTTGGTTTTTGTCCTTGGTTTGGTTTGGTTTGATTATCTAGTGGTGGCTGCGGTCCCTGGTGAGAGAGATAGGAAGAGATCGGGCTGAGCAGGTGAAGTGGCGAAAGGGGGTTAGCAACCTGTCGCGCGGCGCGTGGGATTGGTAGTTTCTCCATTACCTTTCTTTTTGGCGAAAGACGCGTGCAGTGACTGTCGCGAGGTGCGGATCTTGGTGGAGAGTGGCGGCGCTTGTTTGATGTTTCGATTTGTGGTAGATTACCGAAGCAATGGCGTTTTCAGGAGAGGCAATGCGTCGACAGGAAAGTGTCGCCCCTCCGAAGTTGCATGGAGCGAGGGCTCTGGCTGGACTCCGTGTGTAGGCTGGATGTTGGTTAACCTCAGCACAGCTAGAGAAAGAATTTCAGGACAGATATGTGCTAGGACTCGGTGGAAATCTGTTAGTCGCTGGCGGATGTTCTTTACTGCTAGTCGGTCACATCAAGAAATGATCTGTTGCTGTGCGAAATAGTCCTTTGATCTTAGCTTGGGAGCGAAATGGGAATGAGGATTCGAGAAACAGTGGTTTGAAAATACTTCACGACAATTACTCAAAGAATTTCAAGAGCTCGAAATCGCTTCTTCATCGAATGTGGACGCGTAGCTGCAAATCGTGGATATTGGGGAAACGACTGAGAGTTGCCGCATTCACCTGTCTACCGATAGACTAGATCACGGAGGGTAGAGTGAGGTTACAGACGCAAGATCGGAAGGGAACTATCTCGACAGGTTCCTTTTAATTACTTGCGTTGATGCTGTCGCGAAGACATTCTAGAATTTCACGTTGAGCAGAGGGAAGTAAAAATGCACGGACGGTTAATAATCTAGTTTGCAGTGAGGTAGAAAGGCGATGTCAGCTTCATATCATATTCAGGACCGTAGTTATGGCTTCGAGGGGTACGTCGTCCGCATCCCGCGGTTGTGTTGAGCTTGCTTTACGCCTGCACCATAGAATTCCGGCTGACATATGCCGATAGTCGCGTCTGAACGCTGAAGTTATGGATGTGGCAAGAATGGGGTATGATAATGGTTCATCTGCAGTTTTATCTTCTGTAGAGGGAACAATGCCTCATGGTCTGGGATTGCCCGTTAACTCTTGGCATGGAGGGAATGAGACATATTATGCTTCTGAGAAGAGGATTCTCGATATCGAGAGGCCGAAGGGGCAGGTTTGTGAACACATGAATCAGGAGCAGATGGATCACACGACAGCTTCTATTGTTAACGCAACAGTCTCTTCGGCAGGAGTACGGTTGAGCGATACACATTTGGCATCCAGAAAAGCAGAGGAAGCAGGTTCTGATCTTAGTCTATTCTCTTTTTGACGGCTGTGGCGTCAGACCACTCAATGACTTTAACACCATACATCCCGTAGTTCATTGTGTAGGTCAGGATAATACTCTTGCCATGATGGACAATATTGGCATAATCAGAAGATGTACTCATCAATTGTTGCGCGTGGAGCGAAACTTTCTTGTGATTGCTGATAACCGTCTCTTTCCGGGATCATTCTTCTGAGATTTCGAATCAAAAATTGTTGTACTGCTTGTCGAGTGTGCATTGAGTGCAAACGTAATGTGCGTAGCTCTTAATCTTTGCACGATCTTGAACCTCTGAGTGCTCCTAAAATAGTGACTACATAATGATTAGTGCCTTCACAACCTAGAGCAGGGAGAGTGGAATTTAAACGAGCTTGGGATTTGGTATCGAGTTAACGATTAAAATGTAGTGCTCGGGTTAAATGTCCTGGGTGCTTGTCATGTCAATTTGAAATATCTCTGTCGTGTACATGACTAACTGGTGATTTAGTTCTCCTTAGATGGCTATTTAGGGTTATCGTTGAACTGATTACATGCGTAGTGAGGTTGTTTAAACTAATCGGAAGCTCAGTTCACAGTACACGGGTCGACAGAATAGATTGCCTGCGTTATACTTCTTTTAACTCTTTCTTTTTCTTATTGATTTATTTTGTCAAACGCTGAAAATTCAGCTACAAGAAGGCAGCATGCGATTATGTGGTTGCAAGAGATTGTTGGAAACGTGGGTCTCTCAAGTGATTCTACAGAGGAAGACTTGAGACTTTGCTTGAGAAATGGAATCGTTCTTTGCAAGCTTATCAACAAAGTACAACCTGGCGCTGTACACAAGGTTAGAACACCTACTCATATCTATATCTCGTTCTTGTGCTGTAGAATAATTTTCAATACCAGTCGTATCTTTGCAAACCAAGCAATTGGTACCCATTTAAAGGCCTTGAAAACAGCAGTAGGATCAGTATTTAGACAAGTGATTGTGACTTCCATTGAGGATGTAATCATTACTTCATAATGTAACAGTTTTTAGGAAGGCCTCCTACTCGTTCTTCGTATTTGTTTTTTATTTTTCTTTTTTTCGTGATTTTTTTTGTATTTTGTTTTAAACGTGCTGTTTTTCTAGGTGGTGGCAAATCCAATTCTTTCAAACCACCCTGATGGAGCGCAGTCCGCATTTCAGTACTTTGAGAATGTTAGGAACTTTCTAGTGGCGGTGGAAGAGATGAGCTTGCCCTCATTTGAAGTTTCTGACTTGGAGCAGGTATGAGGTTGCTGGAGTAACATGCCGCTATTAACATTTTCCATCTTCAATTTTGTCATGTTTCCCCTTCAGGGAAATTTGAAAACCATTATATATTACTGTTTCGTAGTTGTATCCTATCGCTAGTTTAATTCTCGCCATCTTGGTGGAACTGTTATATATGCTAGTCGATTTGAGACATTCTTTTTCTTCCGTAGTTGCCATTGTGTGCATTAACAAGAAAATCCTTGTAGTAAAGGATGGTAGCCTTCTTCATCCGTGTTGCTTATGCATTGCGGCTGCTTTTTCAGTTGCATTTTTACAGGGACTAGAATATTTCTAATAAATGTATTTCCATCTCAACAGGGTTCCATGTCCTCAAGTTCATCTGCAAAGCTGGTAGACTGTATATTGGCGTTGAAATCCTATCATGACTGGAAACAGGGTGGTGCTCTGGGTTTCTGGAGATTAAAGTCCCCTAGTCATCCTACGGGGAATATGAGTAAATCCATTTCAAAATTTAGTGCCTCTAAGAATGTTAACAAGAGTGGAAACGCTCGAAAACAATGGGCGAATCCTGATCAAGAGTCTCACGATGACACTATATTGGCAAGTGCATCCAATCATTCAAAGGGTTTTGAACCCGGAGAGTCCGTTTCAGGTCATGAATCCTTGACTAATGATCTATCTGGGGAAAATTGTAGCTCGGTCGGAGACGGCGAGGAGGTGGTTTTTATTAATAACTCGGCAGGTATTGCTACGCTTGTTCTTTACTTCTTACTTTTGTAATCTTAATTTAAATTTAAATTTTAGCATAGCGGTTGATTAGATAGTGCAGAAATGTATCTTGCATACAAGTCAGCTGAGTTTCACATTATTGGCTTTCTGTGCATTTTGCAGGGTCTAAATCTACCTGGCTTGAACACCTTGGTGACAAATTTCATGAGGTTCTGCAAGTAAGTGCGAAGAGCATGCAACGAGTCTCTGATTCTGCACCATTTACTACCGATGGTTATGCTGGAGGACCGACCACTGCACTCGATGTACGTGTGCATGCATCATTTTAAACCTGTGTCTTTGTTATACTTGCCGCAACTTAAATAAATAATACCAACGTGTCTGATTTTATTTTCCTCATTTTGACCATGTTCAAAATTTATAACATTGGAAACTTGACTGACTATCGTACCTAAAGCTATTGAATCCTTACGTGCATCAGGGCTTGTGGGTTCCTTTATAGCAATACATATTAGTGTTGTTATAATAAATTAGTTCAATCCATTTATGGTTGCTGTCTTCTTTTTGGATGTTCATACCTTGATCCTCAATTTCCTGCAGATCTAACTCGTTTTTTCTTTTCTCAAGTATTATTATTTGTGTGCACTTGTGTATGATATATCTTATTTTATTTATGCGTGCATGTCTTCCAGAATGTGCCATCCCAGTCACTTCTAAGACTCATCAATGCCATCTTATGCGATAAAAGTGTTGAAGAGGTGTCCATGGTAAGACATCATCGATAAGACTAGTATTATTTTTTTCGAATTCTTCTTCTTGCCCTTGTTCCTTTTTCTAATAGTGCAGAGGTAGATAACTGGGATTGGGCATTCTTGATTGTGGATTCAAGGTCTTATTCTTTTGTAGGACTAGTCTATTCTTACCCTTGAAAGGATCCTGCAGGCTGTGGAGTTTATGTTACGGAAGGTGATGGAGGAATTCCAGCGCCATCTCGTTACTCAGAGAAAACAAGTCACGAAAGTACGAATACGTCTGGCATATTTGTTATCCTTCTGTAGTTTGTGACGTAATATCTGTTGCTTTCTTAATAAAACTTTGAGTTTCTCTCAGCCTTTCAGAAGCGTAACAGTGTGAACTTGTTTTCTCTTTCTGCAGATGAGAACTTCCATGAAAGAGATCTTGTCTCGCGAGGACAAACTTGCTTTACAAAATTCAGTGCTAGTAGCATTGGCAGGTGGTACGCAAGAGGAAATAAAAGTACGTGATACTACTCTATTCCACGATCTACTTCAACAAGCTTGTTTTTGGTTCTTGGTTTTTCAATGCTGCAGCAAGGGTCTTTGTGAATGATGTGTAGCAGTTTTTGGACTTTGGTAAAGTCATGACATGCGGAACATAATGTTTCTGTGTGCACAAAAGTTTAGTGTTGCTACTCTGCTATAATACCAATTTTTACTTGGATGTATGATGGCTTACTCTTCTTTTCTGACATGTGGGATTACAGTTATATGCTCAGATGCTGCATAAGCTCGAGGTCACTGTCATTCCCTTCCCCTGAATTTTTTCACTTTTAAAGTCCTGTGTCTCCCCATATTTTATGGTAAATGGCATGACAAGTAATGAGCCTTTCTCGTCTATCATTAGTTGAGCAGTTACAGTCGCTTTGAATTAACTTAAACAGTTCCTTCACGTGTTCAGGTAGAGATGAATAAATTGAAAGAGGAGAAGAGAGTGAAAGAGGAGGAAGTATGCAGATTGCTCCAAGAGAACAAAGAGCAACAATTAGCTGTGCAAGTGCTGAGGAATGAACTGGATCACATCAAGCGCGCTGACAAAGAGATGCTGCAACTCCTTGAAAGTCAGAATAAAGAATTCGAGCAGGAGTGTAAAGAAACTATTCAGTCCTTGGAGTTGCAGCTTCAAGATTCGTATGACAAGTTGAAGGAATTGAAAATTAATGCAGACAAGGAAATGAGTAGTCTGAAACTAAAGGACAATCAATATCAAACATTCCTTTCAAGTCAGCTACTTGAGTGTAGGGTATGTTTATTTGTCTACTTTACTCCTTAACCAACGATTTAGGAAATGAGTATATCAATTTTTACTTGTCAAATTATCTAATACTAATGCTTGACGAGTTGCTGAGGAGAGGCAAATTTATTGTTGTCTTCAACCGTTCATTATTGAGTTTTCTGGGACATTTTATTCTCTGCAGGATCTTAGGTTGGCCCAAGTTAATACCAAAGATGAGTTTATGAGGATGCAGACCGAGTGGAACAACCAGTTCAGCATGCTAGGTAGAGTTAGTTTCTGTTTCGTTTTGTGAAACTAATCCTGAACTTTGACCAAATTGTGATATTTAATTTTAATTTTGGTTTTTAATATTAAAAAATAACGTCCTTATGAGTGGACTTGGTCTGGATTCTACTGATCCCTCTTTCCTGGGGGTGCAGAGGAACAGCTTCAGAGCATGGCTCGAGCTGCATCTGGATATCATAAAGTGCTGGCCGAGAATCGAATGCTTTACAATGAAGTGCAAGACTTGAAAGGTTCATTCCCAGTCCAAGCATTTGCATGCTAAGCCCAAAGTACGAAGTCAGTAGCAGAGTCGCTTTTGAAGAACGTCAATATCATAATCCACTATGCTTTTTTGATCCTGTTTTCGATAAGGATGTTTTAGGTAGGGTTGAGTTTTTCAGTCTTTCTAATGTAGGTTTTTGAGCTTTTAGCGGTACGACTTTTTGGTTTTCTTTGAGTTACAGGCAGGGGGTACTAGTGTTCTTTGATTCTTCCCAAACTTCCTTTCATGCTTTTCGTTAAGTGGTAATTTGTCGTATCTACTATAAATCTTCCGTTTGACTCCTTTGTATTCTGTTTTTAGGAAACATTCGGGTCTATTGCAGGGTGAGACCTTTTCTCACAGAAGAAGCTGGAAGATTAACTACTCTTGATTATATTGGAGAAAATGGACAGTTAATGTTAGTAAACCCTCTCAAGCCTGGTGCTAAAGATTCTCGAAAATCTTTCACATTCAATAAGTGTTTTGCCCCCAATGCTTCACAAGGTATGATTGTGTGCAATTTTCCAAGGAATATAGCGAGTTTTTAGTAAAGGATGCTGCGTTCAATTTTAGTAGTCAAGGGTGCCAATTATGTTCTTTTGTGATAGTGTTATTCCTGTGTTAGTTAAGATCTGTAGGGTTCTCCTCTGGTTCGACCTCAATGTCATTGTAACCTAACGGTTATAATATAGTATTTTTGTCGTTCATGCTCTCAAGAAATCGAGCCTCTTGGCTTTTAACTCGTATTTTCTGATGATAGATTTAATGTTGGTTTGTTCAGAGGAGGTTTTTCTAGACACACAGCCATTGATACGGTCTGTATTGGATGGATTTAATGTATGTATCTTTGCTTATGGCCAAACGGGGTCTGGAAAGACCTATACCATGGTAATGTCCACTTTACTTCATTTTATTTAGTTCAGCCAGATAGCAATCTAAATTATATGATTCCCTACCATTGCCATATTTTTGCCATGCTTAAGTTGTCTAGCCTGCATCCACGGTGGAAGAATTATTCATGCAACAAATTTGTTACTTTAGAACTCTTGTGTTTACTCAATGGTGATGGAGTTTTGATTCAAGCTTATAATATTAAGTAGAGAAATTACAGAGTGATTTTTTTTTGTATACTGTACTTACTCTGGCTTGCATTTGTTTTATTGTATAAACTTAACATCCTTGTTCAGTACTTTGGGTTATCTGTGAACTTTTCTATTCGTTTAGGATCTGATGCCTTGTTTGGATAACAGAGTGGTCCAAATAATATGGCACCAGTGGATTGGGGAGTAAATTACAGAGCTCTCCATGATTTGTTCTCTACAACTCAAAGCAGACTCGATGTTTTCCGCTACGAGATCGGAGTCCAGATGCTTGAAATTTACAATGAACAAGTCCGGGATCTTCTGGCTGCGGACGGTGTTCAGAAGAAATATCCTTTTGATACATCTTTATTCTTGAGGCTTGAGACTTGCTTGATTTCATTTACTTTTATGTTGCTCTTCTGGTTTAGGTTCTATAGTTTTATTGATGATGTCTATGAACCACAGTGGTTTCTACCTTAACCCTGACCACGCTTGAGATCCGGAATAATTCTCAATTGAATGGTCTGAATGTTCCTGATGCCAGTATGATGTCAGTGCGGTCAACAGAGGATGTGCTTGATCTGATGAAGGTCGGTCAGAAGAACAGAGCAGTCGGCGCCACAGCTCTTAACGAGCGCAGTAGCAGATCTCATAGGTAATATTTCTTCTTCTTTGTTTGTTTTTATTTTCATCTCTTTAATACTGTTTTAAAAACAGTGTTGAAGTATGTTCATTTTTTGTATTTAAATTTTTTTGGTCATTTTCTGCTTGTTCCTTGGCACCTTGACAAATTAATTAGTTTTTCTCCTGACGAAACTTGTTCACTGGACTAACTGTGTTGGACGATGCTTCAAATGTTTGGCAGGTTTTTGTTTTCGGATATTTGATAACTTGAAATATGAGTTGATTTTACATATATCTTAGTGCAGTCAACGTGTAAATTTATGCAGTTTGAAGGTGGATATCTGGACCTAACTTTGTTGTCTTTACAGTGTGCTGACAGTGCACGTTCAAGGCACTGATCTGGAATCAGGAGCTATTCTTAGAGGATCTCTTCACCTGGTTGATCTTGCTGGAAGTGAACGAGTAGACCGGTCTGAAGCCACGGGTGACAGGTTGAAGGAAGCTCAGCATATCAACAAATCTCTCTCAGCCCTTGGCGATGTTATAGCTGCATTGGCCCAAAAGAATGGGCATGTGCCTTACAGGAATAGCAAACTCACACAGCTCTTGCAGGATTCACTAGGTATGGGCATATGGGAAAGTTATTCAGTACTCTGCATGTTGACTATAGCTACCTTGTTATTTGCAGTGAAGAGTACCAGTAGTTTTAGTTCCTTGTTGTGTTACTTGTCATTTTGTAATAAGCATCTTGTGGATATTTGCTTGCATATGGATCTTGTGCAGGTGGCCAAGCAAAGACTTTGATGTTCGTACACATAAGCCCAGATGTGGAGTCCTTTGGAGAGACTATAAGCACATTGAAGTTTGCTGAAAGAGTGTCAACAGTGGAACTTGGAGCTGCTCGAAGTAACAAGGAAAGCGGAGAAATTCAAAATCTTAAAGAACAGGTAGATTTGGTGATGTTCGTCTTAGGAAATAAATGTTAAGCACATTTATTTCTTCTTTGAAAGGCGTTTTTTATTTGTTGATAATGTTGCGTGTACTATTATATTTTTTCTATCAGTGTCTTTTTCTTTTTCTGCGTGTTAAAGAGCTTTTCTGTTGTGGAAGAGTGCAAATCTGTACTTAATTGTGTAGTTTTTGTGAGCCGTTTGCATCTTCTTTTTTCCTTTTTTATAATCTTCAACATTGTCGAACCTTCACGAAAGTAGTGCTGTGTTTCAAGTTGACCAACTGAAAATACCAGCCTTCTAAACCTTTCAAGTCCCATTTGATCGTTTTTAAGGTTGCTCTGCTGAAAGAGGCTGCTGCGAAGAAAGATGCTGAAATTGCACATCTTCAAACATTCAAAGAACGACACGATAGAGGCGAGAGCGGTGTTGGCGTGGAGAAGTATAAGTCCAGGATCTTGAAGCCATCTGCACGTGTCCGTGCGAGCCCTGATGTCTCTCCTGCTCCGAAACTTCGGATGGTACAAAATGAGAGTGGGAGTGAAACTACGGAGGTATATTATGTACTATGCGAAGAAATTCATCATCAGGGAATAGAGTGTTGAAGGAAAAGATTTAATTGTATGGCATTACTAGATACCAAAATTATGTAATGGGTCCAAACTACAAACCTTCTAGTTCAAGATTGTGGAAGCAAGGTCTTCACGTTTCTCTTGCTGTGGTCTAGCAGTTCAAGAAAAGCGTTCGGATTTTCATTCGTGACATAGTTAATCACTTTTCCACATCTTGTAGAACTGTACATAGTTATTCAAGTTCGTGACACGCAGTACCAGTACCAGGTTTTCGAATCATTTCCCTGTTGCTGCAATTCTAAATTCTTTTACCACTCACTGGCAGACTCGGGCCATCACGCGCAAGTTACCTGGTCAACCGAAGTCTCCTATTCGCGTAGCTGTTGGATCAAGCCATGAGTCTGAAGATCCTGCGGAGCATTTATTGTCCTCTTCAGCATGCTCTCCTGCGGGTTCCTCTACAGAGCAAGGCTTGGGTTCATTTGATGTAATGGAAGATGGGGCGAACAATGTAGACGAGAAGCTTAAACGTTCGTCCTCGAAACATCAGCGAAATGGATCTGGAACTGGCTTTAGTAGTTGGACTTCTCAGATTCACAATTCAAAAGATTCTGATGGTGGACAGATGAAAGCTACAGAAGGTAGTCGGCAGCACGAAGCAGTTCTTGCAAACCATGTGGAATCAGCTTCATCTGATATTAAACAGGAAGTGACGACTAGGGAGTTGCCAGAGAGGTCTCAAATTGTTAGAGAAGATATCGATAACTTCTTTCTAGAAACGGAAAAGCAGGCAATCTATTCAAATAGTGGCTACCTTCATGAATCAAATGCCGATTTTGAATCTTTACGTTCTGCATGTTCCAGCCAGCGTTCACTACCGGGTAAATTTCACTGAACGAGACTCCTTTAAAGTGAATTAAAATAAATAACTCTGTGGACTTCCAGTGCTAAATACAACTGTCACAGATCAGCACCGAACCCAATACCTGTTGAATTAAAAGGTTCTATCTGGGTTGAATGATGTAGGTCTGGAAGAGCAGTTTGAAAGTGATGGACTTTTCGACCTTCGGGATGGACATGATGATAGTTCAAGCTTGTTCTCAGAAAGTGGTCTGTCTGTGGTAGCGGACCTATCCTTATCCAGTCAGTTGGACTATACCAAGAAAGTCCAGTCAAGTCCTGCCCAGGTTCGCAATGAGAGGAGGTATGGTTCCTGATATATTTTAGCAATCGCTATCTCGTTGCAAAGGAGGGTCGTACCATTACAGGGTTTATTTCTTTCTGTTACCGTCTAAACTTACGTCGATTAGGGCTTCTCTTTTACAAATTATTGCTTTAGAGTTGTTCATGCAGTCTCTTTGCTATCATGGTCATGACTAGTACCCATAATGCTATTTTCGTGATGCAGATTGGATGTGTCAATGTCTGGATCAGTTTACGGTCATTTTCATTCTGTGCATCATTCTATCGTGTTTCTACTTTGCAGAGCTCTACTACAGACCCAAGTTCCTCGTCCTCCGATTAGTGCTATACGGAAAAGCTCATCAGTTATGAATCGTAAGTCTGTTGGAGCACCATTACATTCACGACCTCGCAGATACTCAAATATAGGGATCTCATCATCCACTGAGAAACTTTTATCCAAGCGGAACGCTTCTCTTGGAGCAGTTGCTAGTCCGGATTTTGAATGTAGTGGTATGCTGTTCTTACCTGTCGTGTTTTTATGACGGAAATTCTGCTATTCTTAAACCTTGTTCATTTTCAGATCATGTCCTGTTTTGTTGAATGTTAATTTGACCTTAGGGATTTTCTTTGAGAAAATATATTTTGCTGTAGACATATAAGCCGCTTGTCGTGTTGTTATCACAGGCAACAGAAGGGTAGCAATTGGTGCTGGGTCCTCAACCTCTTGGAGGTAATAGAGGGTAAGTCCTCAGCATGATATGTGTTCACAAACAGCATGGATTGTTGGAATCCGTTTATTTTTGTTATTATTATCTTTTTTCAAATGTAGACGATCCACAGCTTATTGTTTTGGCGGAAGGAGTCTAATATATTCACATTTATCAATAGATTAGATAATATTTTGTGCACTCAGATTCTTGTGTACTCCAACCATTTCTAAAATGGATCGGAATTGATAGATTAGACAACTGCAAACGTTTGAACTTGGTGCGAGACCCAAGGATAGTTTGTCGAAAGCCTCGCACTACGCAAGAGTTGAGGCGTAGTGTTTGACTGCAATGGGAATACAGAGAAGTAAAAGTAATGATTACTTGATTTTTCATTATAGTTGTGCAACATCGGTTTCTGATACTTGTTAAACGTGTGTATGTTTGGGACCAGAGTTGGGTTTGACCATTATATATGCCAGGTGGAATGAGCAGTACGGCTTATTCGTCCATCTTTGGGTGGACCTTTATGTAGTGTTCAAATCGTCACATGTAATCTGTAATTTGTTTGTTTGTTTGTTTTGTTTTGTTTTGTTTTTTTTCTATATTTTTTTACAGTAATCTTGCATTGTGAGGTTGATTTCAATAGGATATTATTAATCAGAGTGACAGCTTATCTGGTGACTGACGAAGAGCACATATGACGCAGCCTTTAATTTTTCCGTGTCGGGCATCACATCAGGCCGAACGTCTTCCAAGCGATGGATTTGGACACCCGTGCTCTAATCGCTCTCAAAGCAGTTGGTAGCTACTTGGATGGAGCGTCATTTTAGGGCATGCAGTACTCTGTATCATAGTTAGTAAGCGTCTTTAGAAGTCTGTAGATATCATAATGAATCAATCGATACTTTATCATTTTACTTACCACGAAGTTTGGTAACTGGCTTACAACCGTAGGAAGCCAATTTTTTGCAGTGCTTTAAAGAGTGATCCTAGTTCCTTTTACCTGGTACAGCTCAGGAAGCAGTCGCTCATATTTGCTGCTTAATTGTATTGATGATTCGATCAAAGACCTACTTTGTTTACGAAACGAAATGACTGTTTTGATGTACCAGCCTCTCACTTTCCTATTTCTGCATTCACCTAATCAATTGGTGTGCATATCAGTTTTTCAAAAACTGCAGTGATTTGAGCTTTTAATGAAGTTATTGCAGCTCCTTCAATGGTAAAGGTTAGGATTGTGCATTGCTACCTATGAAATCTCAGTGTTGTGGAAGCACAAGCGTAACCTTGTAAGTCATGAGTAGGTCCAAGTTTTGTGAAAATCGAGCATGTATGACATTACTATTCGAAACGGTTCAGACTAGATCTTATTGCTTGTCGTGTTCGTCAATTTCTCGAAAATCAATTAAATTTTGGCTTTTCAACAAGAAGTGATTTTCTTTTTAGCACTTGAATTAAATTTTAGTATAAGGAATGCAATCTATAGAACACAAATGAGAATATTGCTTACACTTGAAATCTTGTCTGTGTAAGAAAGAGACACGTCAAAGCGAACCTGCGATACGGAAGGTGGAAGTATACTTTGAGGTAGAATGATATGAACTCACCCCAGTTTTATTTACCGATTGCTTTTCTCGGATGCAGTATATGGTACACAAGGCAAATAAATTCCTTTGCTCATATCCAGGTGACATGCAGTATATCAGATGATATAAAATGTTTGCATTCACCTGGACAACTAACATCAAGTAATATTCCATATGCTTTTCTCAAAGAGATCTCACGAATGTAGGAAACAATTCGGTGCTCATGACCCTATACAAATTTCTGTATTGTTTGGGTGCATGAAAGCCCTAAATGTATGATTATTTCAATGAAGACATACCTTGAAAGTACTATGTCAAGCACTATTTTATAATTTGATTGCTATCCACCTTTTACAACACAGAAAGTGAGATTCGTTTCATCCTTTTTTTACTTACATACTTCAAATGACCTAAAATAACGCAGACTCCAATTACGCAATTACATTCCAATTATTTTAAAATGCTCCATTCAAAACCTGAAGTTCAATTGTGCCCTAAACTTCAATAGTGGAAACATACAAAAAAAACTAAAAAAAAACTTTGTAACTAAAAAATACACCAAAATACTGCAAAATTCGTTCCACAAATTTTACATAAACTTGATGGAGCTCTTATCCAGGTGAAGGGAGAGAATGAAATGCATCCAACATGAAGGCTGGAGGTGATTGATGAGGTGAGATTGATTCATCCTGCGCTGCCCCTTTCTCTTGAGGATTGCGAACGGCCCTTCCCTGGACACGACGAATCCCCTTGGCTCCGTTTCTGAGCTCGCAATCCTCTCTCTCAGCCGATTTGCGCAGCCCTGGAGCTGCGAGAACGCGAGGAGGGGGAATTTGAGTGATGAGCGCCAGTTTGCAATCACCCAGGAAGAGCGATGATGCATCGCCATGGAGCAGCGTTGCTACCCTGCCCAGAACCCTCCTCGATTTCATGGCTGGGAGGGAGACGAATTAGCGAGCAATTCATGGGAGGAGGAAGAGCAGCAGCAGCAGCATGCTGTCCAGTTTCGGTGCAAGGGCTGACAGTGTATGCGGCGCGGAAAAACCAGTCTGGGTCCCGGTACCAGCAGACGAAGCGGTGGAAGGTGGACGAGTCCGTGAAGAAAATTGGCCATGCCGGGATTGAGAAGTTTCGAAGCTCCTTGGAGGATAAGGACAGCGCATCGGGGGAAGGGCTGGTGCTGCGGGAGGATCAGGCCGTCGGGCAGGTGATTGCCGCGCAGGCGAATTTCATGCGCGTGTTTATTGAGAGGACGGGGAACGATGATCTGGTGGAGGGGAGATTTTATGGTCCCGTGAGTGAGGGTGATGGGGACGTGAGTGGGGGTGAGAGGCAAGAGGGTGGGATGAACAATGCGATGCCGGCGAGTGTGGGTGTCGCGAGTACGAATGCGTGGGAGTTGAATTGTGGTGCAAAAGCGGGGACGGAGCTTTTGTGTGTGGTGAGAGCGGTGTTGAAGAAGATTAAGCGACGGGTGCTTGTGGGTGACAAGGTTTTAGTTTCGGCCATTGATTGGATGGACCGGCGTGGAATGGTGGAGGATGTTTTAGACCGTAGGTCTGAGATTGCAGAGCCACCGATTGCGAATGTGGAGCATTTGCTCGTTTTGTTCGCGTTTGATCGGCCGAAATTGGAGCCTATTGCACTGAGTCGTTTTCTTGTCGAGGCTGAGTCCACTGGCATTCCTTTCACATTGATTCTTAATAAGGCGGATTTAGTTCCACAACAGGTACGTTTTTTTTTTTTTTTTTTTTTTTTTTTTTCTCTTCTTTCTATTTTTTTTTTTTTTTGAATTGTATATCAGCTGACCTTAACATGTGCATACGATTTTCCCCCATCTTACCTAATTTCGAAATGCCAGACGCACGCTAGAGCGAATCTCGAAGACTAGATTTGTCTGTGTCTTTTGAGTTCGTATCAAAAAATAGGATCGAATTGTAATTTCGTTTGTAGCGATTTGAAGAAAATCAGATTCCTAATCTAGTTGGAGTTTGGACTCAAAATTTGACCCACAAATATACTGGCATTCCATCAGAATTATATCTTAGCAGTGATGGAGATTGATAAACTGTGGTACACATGAGTCGCATTCTCATCACGTACAAACTTTTGGTTGTCTTGGATTATACATATTTGAAGATTGCGTCCTCGAGGATACATGTGCCTGAATAGTCCTTATAGGTACTTATTGTTGAAGAGATTGAAGCGCTTATTGAGCTGCTCTGGGATTTGGCGATGAGATCTCAGCGTAGGATGCAAATTTGCTAGGACAATTACCGATGATTTCTTGAATTGATATGTTCAGGAACTTCTTGATTGGAAAGAAAAAATTGCAGGGTGGGGCTACAAACCAGTAATATGCAGTGTTCGCTCGAGGTCCGGAGTTGCTCCTGTCATGGAGATATTGAGACAAAAAACAGCAGTAGTTGTAGGGCCAAGTGGAGTTGGAAAGTCGAGTTTGATTAATGCATTACGTGATGTATCTGGTATTGAAATGTGGCGTGAAAAGGAAGCAATGCAAAGATTAGAAACTGTGGCGTCTGAAGAAGGTGACGATCTTATCATACCACAGGTTTGTCCTATCTGTATTTAGAAGTACCTGAACTCAATTATGTGATAATATCCAGTCGTCTTCTCAAGTTCAATGTTTCACCGATAGGTTGTTGATTGTACAGGACGATCGTTATCCTGGATGTGTGTACTTCAACCAACATATTGATTATCTTCCTTGCTTAACATCGCTTCTATTCACGGTTGTTTTTCATCTTTTATTGTAGAATCTTAGTCCAGATCTAGGAGGCTTATGAAAGTTCTGGAAGCAGTTCGTACTTTTCAGCCACATGGCGTGGTTAACTTTTTTATCCTGCGTTTGACTAGGTCCGTGATGAGCACGAAACATTTGAAAAGCTCCAGGTCAGTGAAGTTTCCTTGAGATCCGGCAAAGGTCGACATACCACACGTCATGTGTCACTCTTGCGGCTCCCTGGAGACGGAGGATTACTTGCTGACACACCAGGTTTTAGTCAACCTAGCCTGAACCTTGTTACTAGTGGAGAGCTTGGAGATCTTTTTCCAGAGGTATGAAGCCATATACGAGATTGGACCATTCCCTTTGTTTCTAAAAATTATTTCATGCAAATCTCTATTCCGAAACTTGGAGTCATTTTGTTCGTGTGTACAGGCACTAAGTTCAAATGTCTCAATGATCGCTACGTTATGCTTATCACGCATTTCTTTTAGATCCTTGCGAACGAATGCTTATCTCATTCACTTTGGTCGCAGGTAAGGGAAAAGATTGCTTCAAGCCCAGAAGGCGGTTGTCTCTTCGCAAACTGCTTGCATGCAGGAGAGCCTTCTTGTGCTGTGGGTAAAGACTGGGACAGATATTCCCATTACCTGGGACTTCTTGAGGAGGTCAGGAAAAGAGAAGAAGTGGAAAAACGAGTACTTGGAACCAAAAGAGAAAGTGATGTGAGGTAAGTTTCTATTTTCTGTTGTTACTCGAACTTTCTAGAATATGGTTTCGTTTGTTTAATATACCAGGTTTTCGCAAATCGTAATGCCACCAAGTTACCGGTCATTGAATGATGAAAACCCTCTGCAGGTAAGTGTATCAGGTGTTACTAATGTGTTGGGTAGTTGGAAAGAAAGAGGATTTTCCTGCCTGAATGAGAACTCTTCGTGCAGGTACAAAGTAGGAGCTTCAGGTGTGAAGCAAGCCGAGCCCAGGCTGCAAACAAAGCGACATCGACGTCAATCACGTAAAACAGTGCGACAGTCACTCGACGAAAAGTTGTGGGAGAAGATGGAAGAGCAAGCCGAAGTTGAGGATGTTTTGAGGGAAAATTAAAGACTTGTATAGACTTTTCTCTGTGTTGCTTATTAATGCACACGAAACTTTAACATGCTGAGATTCTTGGTATAGGAGTAGGATCTCAATCCTCGAGCAAGGTTGAAACTTCTTTCTCACAAGAAGTGTACCATATATCTTTTCAGTGACTAAAACTTCACATGCTTACACAAGGACGTCGGTCTGGTTTTAACTTAACTGAGTTGAAGCCCTACTCACACTGTGCTACAACATCGCTTTTCAATATCGTCCATTTACATGAAGTTTCACCTTGGAGGCGATCGCTAAGTTAGTTTCTTGTGTCATTCTCATAACTAGATTTGTCGCTGATATTGACGCAGCTGTACATATCCTCAATTTGGAAGAGCACATGAACAGTGGATGCTAATATCGGTAAATTGAATTTTGTGCCAGGCAAGTGAGACAAATACTCATTGTTTGAAATTCAGGAGTTGATACTCCAGTTAAACCATTATTAAATCCTAAAACCAGTTAATTAGATAACGGAGGAGTCTACAGGAATGCAAGAAGCAAGAAATTGTTGTACTTGCATCAGAAAAAAATATAAATATATATATAGCTATTAATGTATATTTATTCAAGTATGATGCTTTAAGGTTTTGTCTTCATACTTTCTTAACATTTTAGTTGAAATTACATTTTTAAAATATATTTATCATCAATATAAAAGAAACATTAAATAGGATATATTTTTTCAAAATCACTTTAAAAAATAATATTCAAAAAATAAAAATCCTAAATTCACTTCACCATATTATTGGGTGGCTTTATTTGATTAGCTAAAAAATGATTTAATTATATCATTGTGTATTCAAAACAATTCATATTATATGTATTTTATGATTTTATGTGCTTATAATTTAAAAATTAAAGTGTGCTTTAGATGTTTTATTTTAAGAAAGAAGTTAGACTTGATATGCAACTTTAAACAACTTCAAGTCTTATTGAAAATAATTTTAAACATCTACTTCTTTAAGAGAAAAAATTAGTTATATTCTTTTGTTAATTTATTTTTCTTTCTTTCTTTTTATATGTGCAAACATAAACACACAAGTGCACTATACAAGTACTAGAATATTTCAAGAAATGTTAAGTTTTAAGCCATAAAAATTACACGTATATAAGTAAATTCTATAAAAGTTATCAAACAGTTCAAACTTAGTTTTTAAGTTACAATCGTACTAAAAGAAAAAAAAAAAAAAAAGATTTTTTTTTGATGAATATATACTATTATTCTAAATAGAATATTAATTTTTTACTAAAATATATAAATATATCATTTATGTATTTAATTTTTTTCTTCTATTGATGGTTATTTTATTGTATTGTTGTTAAAGCCAATTTTCACAAGTTGTATTATTTAAAGATATGTAATTACAAATTTTCTTTTAATAATATGTTTTTTTTAACTAAATGTATCAATTAATAGATTAGATACAAGAAACTTGTTTAAACTACTATTATAAAAAAATATAACCAATAAATATATTATATTACATTGTTTGCACCATTCAAATTTGGATAGTAAATAATCCTATTTTTAGTTATGATTTTAAAATGTTTTGTTATCTGATTTGTATTAAAAATATATATTTCTTAAAATTTATTTCTCAATTTATGAAGTTTTAAGAACATATCTCTAAATTATTTTATTTTGAAATATTTTTTATGTTAGTATATAAATACACACACACATATATATATATATATATTCATATACATATATATATATTCATATACATATATATATTCATATACATATATAATAATTCTTTTATTTCATGATTATTAAAAAAATAATCTTTTAGCTATCATACAAATAACATAAAGATTAATTTTTTTTATTATAATATTCTTTCAATTACTAAATACTTTAAATTTTTTATTATTAAGTTATTTAAATATATATTTCTTTATTCTACACTTTTTATATATATATTTTATAAAATAATATCTCTATTTCACAAAAAAAAAATCAAAAACTATGTAATGCAATTCTTATACCATAATATTTTTTACATTATTTCTTATGAATTATATCATTTAAATCTTCTATTGCATATTTAGTTGCTTAAAAGAATATTATGGAGCAATTAATAGATTAAAAAAATCTAACAAATCATAATAAACTCTTATAAATTTTATGAAAATATATCCAATATATATATATATATATATATATATATATATATATATATATATATATATATATAAACACATACATATAATATTATCTATCACAATTTATTTGATTTCTTAGGATGAATTTTAGATAGTCTTTAATATCATAGAAAATAAATAAAGCAATAAAATTAGATAGAATATTAAAATTCTTATTGTGACATGTTTATTTATTATAAACTTGATACTTGAATTTTTTATTTAATTAAATAGGTATAAATTTTATTTTGCATCTTTTTTTATTGTAAGAGTAGGTTGTGTGGACTTTAAAAGCATCTACACACTTATCTATCTATCAATCTATGTAGCAAATGTTTCTATCCATATTAATAAATAATAATAGAAAAAAACTTCCATAGGTCATTCATTCAACTTATTGATTTTCAAATCCACCATCAATATCAAATAAAACTCATCAATACTCTTTTTTACTTAAAAGACATTATAGACAATTTTTAGAAGATGTAAAGCTAGATAATGGAACAACAAAAGGTTTTTAGATCATATAGGATTAGCATAACTATGTCTTTGCAATAATTATCTTGATTGCAAAAGCTTATTGATTGAAGTGAAGAGCTTAAACATATCTTTAAAACTTAAAATACAAAGATTATTAGTAAGTATTTAGTGCTTATTTGTGAATAGAAGTAGTTTATAATTTGTTACAAATATAAATTATTACAAAGAACAAAAGAGTATCGAGCTGAAATTATGAATTTACCTTTGCTTTTAAATGTGTAATTTTATGCAAACATGACCCTTACAAGTTATAATTCAAATAAAAAAATTCTAAGAACATGAATAAAAAGAAGAGATTTATACAAGAACAAAGATAATTAGAATAGTTATATAGATGAAGAAATTTTATGAGTTTGAAAGATTAAATAAACTAAGAGGTCTATATTACACTAAATTATTCTTAGCAAATCTCTACCAAAGGATGTTTTGTAAAGTTTTGTGAAAGTTCTAGTAAGAACTATTCTACAACTGATAGTAGTTAAAAATGAGGTTGTTAAAGTAGAAATAGAATCTATAGCTATCCATGTAGTTATTAATTTTTTTTTATGAAAAAAAATCTTATTTGAATAAATTATATTCTTTCCTCCATCAACTAGTTTATAAAATACAAGATACATTTACAAAGTCTAAAATTATTAGTGAAGGAAATTTTTATTTTAAAAAATATTTAAAGAGATTTTTTTTTAAATAGTAGATTTATGATATTTCAAGTGTAGTATCATAATTTTGACCTTCAAAAAAATTGGAAAATAATAAAACAAAAGATTTTAGAGCAATAAAACCTCTTAAATGGATTACTTTGAGAGATCTTTTGAATAAGTTTAATAAAATAGTTCTACAAGTTGTTGCTACTAAAAGACAAATTTATAAAAGAAAGAAAGACAATAGTCAATATAATAAGCCTAGATGTTTCTTAGCATCATGTTTGAGTGAAAGATAGAAATTGGAGGTATAAGTCACTAATCTAGTGACTAAAAAACATAAAGCAAAAAAATAAATAAATAGACAATTGTTGATTATAGTGACTTGCATAAACTATGTTAAGGATTTTAATAGCTTGGCTATTATAAAAAGAAAATGGAAATATCTACAAACCTATTTTTTCATAATAAATGGACAAATTTGTAATTATTCACCAATATTTGGTAGAATAAGTAGGATTTAATAGTATTGAGGGATGAAGTAGGATTCTAGTAAGTAGAATAAAATACTACAAAAAATTAATATGTTAATTTTTTAACAATTATTTGCATACAAAGAAGTTAAGTAGGAAGGTATATATTTAATAAAATAGTGATAAAAATACTACAAAATAAAATCATACAACTTTTATTGCATCATTAAATCTAATTTATTTTAAATAGTTAAAATAATAAAATAATAGAATAGTGATGCAAGTATCTATAAATATATTTCTATAAATATAACCACAAGTATATTATTAAAAAAGAATAGAGAAAAAAAAATTTCATTCTTTGCAAACCAAGTAAGTAAATTCTTCTAGCACCACCTAAAGTTATTAGAACTATCCACTACAAATATTAACAATTTTATTTCAAACTAAATACATAAGAAGAGATAAAATTATACCATTTAATAATATATATATTTTTTTATCAAATTAAAAAAATCTAAAAGTAATTAAGAGCCAACATAGAATATATTAAAAATTGGTAATAACTAAAAAAATAGGTGAAAGAAAGAAACTTGACTGATTGTGTTCTATCAAACTAAAGGTGGCTGAAAAAACTTTATTTATAAATTATATAATAAATACCTAAATTTTTTATATCTATCTAAAGTAACTATTTAACAGATATTAAATAAAACCAAATCAATGATCTAAAACATTCAATTAGATTAAATTCAATATTAATATAATTAATTTTTTTTAGAATTTATGGTATAATATGTATACATTAAAAATTGTAGACACAAAAGAAGGTATAATTATATTATTGTTATGCTAGATTAAAATTTTAGTGTAACTAAAAAATTTCTAATATCCAAAACTTTATTAATTGTAGATTTATATTAGTTAAATCAAGAGAAAAATCTTTACTAGCTAATGTTTTTGGATATTAAATTATTATCATAATTAGCATCTTGAGTCCAAAAATTAGAATAGAATAGATAGAGCAGTAAAAATAAAAAATAAAAAAAACTCTATATTCAAAATTTAATAATATAAGTTCTTTAATATCTATAATAGACAAATATGATGAAAATCTAAAATAAACATAAATAGCTTTTTAATTTTCAGTTAATATATCAAAAAATTATTTAGAAATTATATTTAAAGAATTAAAAGAATTGTTAATATATAGAAATATATACTTGTGATCCTAAAAGAGACAAGTACAACATCTAATCTAATTCTATAAGATAAGAACTTATAAAACTATGTAGTTTTTTTTTTTTTTTTTTTTTTTTTTTTTTTTTATGGTAGTAACTAATTAAAAATTTTATGTAAAGAATTTTTTTTTCTAAAATTAAAGAATTAAATTGGATTATACTATAACATAATGAATTATTCTATTTTAATTTTTGTTTTCTAACTTCTAAAATATTTGCTATTAATCTAAAAAAGAATTCATATAATATATGCCAATATAATATAGCCATAGTTCATGTAAAAAAGAATTAAATGCTATATCTAATTAAAGAACAATTTGAAAAAATAAAATTTAAAAAAGTATTCTAAGTATAACAATACATTTTCCTACATAAGATTTTGGATAACAAAAGTTGGTAATATTGTTGAGAATAAAATGATGTCTTTACAAATCTAAAGCTTTACTTTATATAATAGAAATTTTTTATGTAATTTTTGAATGTAAAATGATAATTTATTAATGTACATAATAAACCTTACTAGGATTTTAGAAGATCCTTACATCAACCATAGGATTTAGCAACATTAAATCAAAGTGATATTTTATACCTAAGTTTTATATTTGATTAGAAATTTATTTGATTCAAAGGTAGTATTTCTAGATAAATAGTATTTATATGGTTACTTTAGCATAAAGTGGCAATAAACAGACAAAAACCAAATATTAACAATATCATATCAAAATATATGTCACTTCTACTTATCTTCAGTACTTAAATTAATTGTATAGAAATTTTAGAAATACTTTTAACCAAAAAGAATATGTTATTAGACTATAGTACTTAATAAAATAATAATTAATATGCAAAGATTGCTACTCTAAAAACTATCTTAAAGAAAAAAATTATTTAAAAAACATTATCCTATTAATATTGAAAGAAATTAGAATTACATGGTTACTATTTAAAGTATTTACATGTATACAACATGGATTCAAAAAATAAATGCAAAAGTCTTCAAAGAAGAAACTTATAACAATAATTGTATAAGACAACTAACTAGTACAAATCTTTATGAATATATGCAAATTTTCTATATGAATTTTTTAAAAAAAAAAAAAAAAAAAAAAAAAAAACTAATCTAAAAAATCAAAATCAAATCAAACATTTAAAAAAACGAAAAACCAAACTAGGAAGCTACTTTTACAAAGAACTAGAACTGTTTATTGATGACAAAAAACATCATAGAAAAAAGAGTTAGATATCTTATTAGATGACCAAATACAGACCCACATATTATCACACATACACCAAATAGGAATCAATTAAATACGTAAGATTACTTGTGCCATATTCTCTAAACCTGGTCATTTTATTCCTACTGTAAAAAATGAATATCAAGATATAAAATGGGTTGTTATCACTCAACAACTTAAATCTATGAGATGGGTCTACTCAGTATGTGTCTATAGATATATATATATATATATAACTGTTGCTCACATGAAACTCTGCCTTAAGATCCTTTTCACAGATACCGAAATCATACAGCTCCAATCTAACTTTTTTGTATTACTGGGTCTGTGCATGGAAGCCTAACAGCTTCTCAGCGGCCGACAGTGCACAATAACGAACTCCTGGGGTGTCAGAATCAGGTGCATTGCAATTGTTCACGAACACACAACTTTCCAGTCTCCATCGCCATCTTGCGTTTCTTTCAGCGTCGTTAGCTTCATGTCTGCTTCCAGAGTGTGCACAGTGTTGGGCCACCTTTCAGCTATGACAGGTTGTTTTGATCAGAGATTTGTGACTTCAGAGCTCGTGTTCAGGTTTTGCAGTTCATCTAGACAAAGAGCTGTTTCAATCCTTCAGTTTTTCACAACATTTGTTGGTTACATGGGCCAGGTGCGTTCATAGCAAAAGTGATAGATCCTACCGACACATACAGAACGGTGCACATGGTCCAGGTTCTCTCACACTCGGTTGCTGGCCCTGGCATTGTTACGACTTTGCCATGTATCGATGACTACGTCTTACAACATCTCTCCAGCGGTCGTCAGTGTCGAGGTGGATGTGAGTATGCTTGGCTCGAGTGTTGTGAGCTTAGACCAGATAAGTAGGCAAATGGCATTGGTAGCGAGAGCAGGGGGGAAGAGTTTTTGGCAAGAAGAATGAATTAGTGGATGAGTACAAATCGCTCACATCCTTCAGAAAGGAGCTAATAGTGGACTGCGATATTGCTTAGCATTGATTCTGTGTGTAATTGAAACTCTACTATTAACGAGTGTGAGGATGGTGAAGAATAAAGGGGAGAATTACATGGCTAGCAACTGGGCCACATTCATGGGGCTGATTGCGTCAAGGCCGCCGTGGAGGAACTGATCGTTGCAGATCTTGTTCACCTTCTCCGTGGGATGGAAGGCATCCCAGAAAACGGACTTGGTTCTGTCTGGACAGAGATGGCCGATGGTGCGGCACGATCCGTCGATGCCGTTGTATTGCCCCGCGCCGCAGCAGGCCGTGGTCACGGGTTCCGTGAATCCATACTTCAAGGGGTCGGCAATGATGCCCCTCACAATGTCGAAAGCGTTCGCGTAGATGAAGATGGAGCCCGGAAGCTCCGCTTGCAGGCTCTGCAACATGGGTTTCAAGGCAGCGTTGAACCCCAGGGCGTAATTGTTCACCTCCTGGACGCACTCCCCCGCTTGGCTCTTCGACGAAAGCACGGACGGGGCGCATCCGATGGGGCCCATGTTAGAGACGATGAACTTCCTCATTCCCAGACCATACGCCGTCTGAATCAAGCAAGCGGTCATATAAGTTTATTAAAAACACGCACCGTAAACTCCTGGTCAGATATGATGAACATGTTCTCGATCGAAAGGAGTAAGAGGTAGCTGAATATACCTTGAGCTGGCCATGAAAGTTGTTGATTAGGAGATCTTGATACTGCGAGGGTGTATATTTTCGGCTGGTGCTCGTGGTGACCGCCATATAGTTATTGACGAAGTCGTTCCCCCCGACTGTGAAAGAGTAGATAGCGTTGTGGATCAGCTCGTCAGCCGCCGGTTGACCGATGATCAGCTCAATCTGCTGTTTCGTTTTCTGGAAGTAGCCAAATTGCTGTGATATTGTTACACGCCCAATCTGCACATGTGGTAATTCGCGCAGTCAGCAAACGAAACGGCTCAGACGCCACATCTCAACAATTCCTGCGCCATTTAATTGTTTCTTACTACGTACAAAGATTGAGCCCGTGTCTTCCAGGATGCCAGCACCAGCCGAGGCGTAGTTGACTCCGTGAAGAAGGTTAGCTCCCGTCGCTTCGGGGGCTAGCACTGGCAGAGGATATGGAGTACCCAGATAATCATCTGCACATCAAATCTTGTCACTCGTCTTTCAATGTCACGGAACCAAATGCACACTGCAAACGGAATCGACATTCGTCAGTAATAGGTTGATTTGCTAATCAGAAATGAGAATTGTGAATTGTGAGAGGAGAGAAGTGAGGACACTTACTGACGAGATCTGGGATGATTTTCCCGTTGCAGAATCTGCCAGTGGGAACCTTGTCGGCCCTGTCAATCCCGTAGGGCTTGTGATCTGCGACGGCCAAGGTGAAGATGTAGTTGTTGTTGCCGACGTCCACGAGTGAGTCTCCAAAGATAAAGGTCGCGGGAGTCTTCTTTCCCTGCGCCTCCACACCTGTGGCGCTCAATGTTATTGCCATGACTACACCAATGACCAAGATCACTAGCCATTGCTGATTTTCTAAACTTGCCATTTTGTCTCTCCGCGGTCGCCGTAGTCACACCAAGGTCGCAGAGCCTTGCAGCTTCTCTGAAATTGAAGCTGTAGTAATCTGAGGACAAACATCAATTAATCGCGTAAGAAAAATCTCTAAAACACGGATTAAATAAGCACCTGCACCCTCTAAGATAGTTATTTTAGTGAGCGTCGATTAAACCTGCTGAAGGGTTTCCGAAATAGCTTCAACTTCAAATTAAGTCAGAACTTCTACAAAGTGATATTGACTGGGAAGCTCTCTGTAAACCTGAGCATAGGTGACAACCTCAAATTAACACTACTGCGCAAACGAAACCAGGAGCGACAACATTGGCAGGGGCGAGTTACGATACCAGAAGAGTCCAAACATTGCACTGGAGCACGCGCCTCTCACTTCCAATCCTTCAAACCAACAAGCCAAGTATTTTTCATTAGCTATGAAGGCAACTGGGGATCTGCGCCATTTGGAGTTCACCATCGACAATCACAACATAGTCTGCAACATGCTCGACATGGCCAAGTGATCACATACTTCACGCATAGCAGCGAACTATCAGGGGGAAATCCATGACGAAGAATCCAGTAAGACAGTCGAGTCATGTCACGCGGAGTTTCGCAACTTCATCAAAAATATTCAGCGGCAATCCCCTGAGCTGAGATGCTAATACACAGTCCACTTCCCCCGACCAACCTTGACTGCCACTCAGCAGCAGAAGATCGGCGGCAAGCATGAACATGAAACTCTCTTCGAAAAATGAACATGAATCCACAAAAACTGGAGAGAACTCACCGAGAAACGTCGCAGAAAATTGCGGTAGCGATCCCGGCAAGTAGCAGCTGCTGAAGCCACAGCTGAATGTGAGCTGCTGCGGCAACCGAGGAAGCTGAAAATGCCACCTGAAAGAGTCAAGGCGAGATTGATGAGCACCATGAGGTCGCAAGCAGGTGGAAGGCGGTTGATGAGGAAGATGGAGATCATTAATGGATAATGCCAGCAGGGGCAACACACTCAGCTGCTCTATTGTCCTCTGCGACACCCATTAACTGGCTCCTTGTACCCATCTCCCATCAATGACTGCATTCCTCAGCTTTTGCATTCGCAGCTATTGCAGCAACACTGTTTCTGCCAGCTTGTAAACAAAATTTGCCACCATAAAAGCCACCGGTTGAAACCCTGCAGGAATTCTTGAAACCCTTTTTGCTGTGTCGCAATACAGGAACAGGTGAAGTCGGTCAAAACAGTGTATGTAGCACATAATTTAATGTCACGTGATTTTGATACACTTCGTCATAAATGGTTCAGATACGTTGCAGATCTCGCTTAAGTGCGCTACTAAATATGAAATGCTGGTCTGAAGTGAACATTTTGAACTGGACCAGGTGTACAAGCCTGAAAGAGAATCTCTTACTGCAGTTTCAGACTGTTCTGCTGGGGTAAATCTTAACGTAATGGCTGAGCAAGGATTGAAGTAGCACTATTAAGTCTATATATGTAGAGAGAATGTTTACACAGTGTTTGATACAATGATAATACTGGAATTATACAAGAAACCTGATCCTTGCGTTGGTTATCATGTTATTTTTAATTAGTAATAATGATGGTGATAATAATAATTGTAGCTATGGTTTTGAACCAATTACACAAGCGTTATAGCAATGTAGAACGAGTTAATCCACCAACATTTGTTGTTGTTAATAACTTTTCAAAACATGTGTTAAAATGAAAGAATAGCATCGACACACACACACATACAGTTGTTAAATCCCTTTTGGAAAAACACTTGAATCAAGTATCTGTTATTCTACAAATAGCAAGTGGGAGGAGAGGTATCAATCCAAGACCAAAATAATTTTCATATAAACATAAACCATAAACGATGTGAACGTTTGAAGATTTAGCCGAGGTAAGACTGTTGGTACAATGCTATTTGGTGAACAATTAGACCAACATCACTATTCCACACACAAAGGCGTATTTATGTGTCTTCATGTTAACAACAAAACACACTTTTGGGGTTCTGTTCATTTTCTGGGCCACGAAATCATTCTCAAATCAGTAATTTCGACATCTTGTCAAGCTGATTTTACACCAAGTGCCACTCCCACACAGTCATTGACCTTGGGTTTGCAGGCGCAAAAGATTAATCCGACACGATATATGCAAAAATCAGCAATAGATAGCTACAGAAGTGGGTTCCATGGGCATCAATGCAGGCATTAATGAGAGTTCTCAAGTCCACACGGGAAGGTCAGTCAGTGGGAGCACCGCATCAGAGGATTTGTCAGCCCTGAACCCCCACTCATTCTCTCTGGCCGAACCATGATCCCTCTTCGCAGGCCTTACCCAGATCTATGCTACCCAAAGAAAAAACGTCTCGCTACAGCGCCTTCACCAGTAATCCCATTCTCACTTTCCAGGGGCTGAAACCATGACTTGAAAACCTCCACCTACTTGCAAACTCGCCGCATCGATGATCTAGCCGCTGCTTACATGGACACGTAGAAGAGAAGAAGAAGACTAAGACACTGCAAGTTGAATCCAGTGCAGGATATCTATGCCAAGTATTTGCAACTTCCAAGTTGATGGACGTCGATGTTCCGCTGCCAGGTGCTCTGCAGATTCGACCCCCGAAGCCGATTCTCCCACACTGAGAAAACCATGCTCAGTGCTCAGGGCTCACACTGAGTTGATTCATTAGTTTGGATGCCTAGTCTGGACTATCGTGATCAGAAGCTGTCAAAGTTGTAAGCATTTCGAGTTTATTTTCTGTTTAGGCTTCCAATGTTTTATGTGTTGCTTGCTCATCACCGAAGCTGGTTCTGTGTTGTGTCTTAGCTGTGTGGGAAAGGTGTGCCGTTTCATTGGTTTCTTCAGTTTTTTGACTGGAGTGGAAAGTAGGGATTAGCTTCATAATGGTTTAAGGCCGAGGCATGTGTGGTGAAAATGAGGGTGAAACTTATCTTGTTTTTAATCCAAGCATGTTTCAAGGTCCTGTACAAATTATTGAGTAAAGGCCTTAATACCATCTTGCTTAATGAGCCAAGGGATGTCATAGACCTTTCTAAGAAAACTTCAACTTAGAAGTAAAGCTTTGTTTTTGAAGCCTAGTAAGAAGTGAAAGAATATCATAATAATGTTTATAATTAGATAAATGCAATTGATTCAAATATACATGTATGTATGTATGTATATATATATATATATATATATAAATTAAATCAATATATATAAAACAACCTTTAAAAAAAATGTCATCCATATAAGCTCAATTTATTTTATTTTGTTATAAAAAAATCTATTATAAAAAAACATTCATTTGGTGTTGCAAACACAAATGCACTAGAAGAAGGAATGATAGCACTTTATTAAACTTTGATTATGTATTGGACAAGTCCTAGCTTATACTACAATTCTTATAATATTGTTTAACACTCATTATTTGAAAGTGACACTTGATTCTTTATTAAAACAAAGTCTAACATATCTTTGAAAGCTAGAAACTTGTTTCTAAGAAGAGGTTTTATTAAGATATCTATTGCCATCTATCCCATGAAATAATACTCCAACTCAATTTGTCTTTTTTCCATGCATTATATGATGAAATGATAATTTGTGTGCCAATGTTTTGTACAATTATGGTGTACAAGATTCTTAGCAACAACAATAGCATTTTGGTTATCCTCATGAATGAGGATCTCTTCTAGCATAGGAATGTTATGATTTCTTAGAACTTTACAAAGCCACAAAGTTTTATTTTGTTCTAGTGGCCAAAAAGACATATTTTTTTTGACAAAGACAAAATAAATAAATAAATAAATAAATAAATAACTACTAATTATTTCTTGCTCAATTAAGTGATAATTGTGCCACTTAATATGAATGCATAGCCATTCATAGAATGATGCATTTCTACACAATCCGCTCCATTTGTATTACTATAGGCTATAAGTTACAAATTTACTTATTTTCCTCTATACTACAACACCAAAACTTTTGTTTTCTTGCAAGTAATAAAAAATTTGTTTGATCCATTGGCAATACAAAACACATGGATGTGCCATGTATCAAATAATTTCTTCAAATAATAATATTGCTATTTTTCTAAGGCATGCAATGCATCTTGTTGCCACTTAAGATTTTACTAAATGAATTCTACCTATGTAAGAACATCATAGTAGTAGAACTTGAATGATTGTCTTTACTCCTAGCTAATAGAATTCTACTACTTTTGATAATATGAAGTTTGCCTTATTTCCAACCATTTTTCTATCAGATCCATCATGTATATGTGATTCCAAAGCTTAAGATCCAAGTGTTTTTTTTTTTTTTTTTTTTTTTTTTTTTTAGATATCAAAGACTAAGTAAATCAAATTAATTTCTATGATCTCTATCTCTTCTAATTTTTTCTTGAGGAGTTGATGGCTTATCAAACAACTCATCCTTGTCAAAAGAAAAACTATATATCTACTAAGAATCATCTTTTTTTTTTAGATAGAAAAATCTTGTACCGTTTTTCCACATTTACAAATAATGCTATAATAAATGAAGTATTTGCAACTATAAAAATTTTGGTATTATAGTTGCAAATACTATAATAGGTCATTTATTGTAGCTTTATTAATTATTTGGTACCGCCAAAATTGAATGTTTTAAAAATAATTAAGATCAAAGAATATTATATCTAGAATGCCATTGGCATACTTATGCTTGTGTAAAAAAAACTACTTATGGGTCTTACTAACTATGTACAATCCATATGTAAGTATCTTATTCTTCTCATTATTGAACTTCAATCCTTTGACATAATTTAGTTGCTTTGTCTCTTATATCATATATATCAAAGAATGTATTAATACTCAATGCAATTAAATGAATATACACTTAAAAGTAGATGAAATTGCAACTATAAAAATTTTATCAATTTCACAAGGCATAAGATAAGCTTAACTATTGAGCATGCCTTGTATAAAGAAGTTATCTAAAGATAGGATCCAATCATCTCCATTTTTATTCAAATTCAACTTATAACTTTTTTTGCACAAGATTATAGCAAATAAGAGTATCTTACATATTCAAGGAATTTAATGTATGCCCTTGACAACCATTGGAATGGATTTTTTTTAGGATTCAAAACTATGGTGTGAATCTCATTTAAGCCTTGTAATTTGCTAACACCACTAATATAGTTTTGGAATTGGATGGTTTTATTCTCATCAAAATTGAGAAGCTTAACTTATCTCTTTGGATATATACATCTACTAAATTGTTAATGCAAACACAATGACATGATTTAGACAAAAATGTACTTGTTGCTTATGACTCACATAATGCCTCTAAAACTAAGAAAATAACTAGTGCTTGTTGGATCACCACCATTTATTTTAGAATACTCTATATTGCCATGCTAATGTTTCTTTTATCTCCAAACCCTACAAATGCTTTTGGACTTATCAATCTTTATTTTTTGCTTTTACAATAGATGTTGCTTCTTTAATCATTGTTAAAGCAAAAAATGAAGTGCTATTCTTTTCATTTTTTTTGCATCTCCCCTTCAAAGACCATAGACTTCATAACTTCTTTTATAATCTTATCTTATCTTATCTTATTTATTTATTTATTTATTTATTTTTAATTTAATTTGATTGAAAGTACAAATCTTATGATTTTGACTTATATATCTATCTATCTATATATATATATATATATATATCTATCTATCTATATATATATATATATATATATTTTTTTTTTTCTTTTTTATGTATTTTGCCATCAAACTCAATATATTGATTTCTAAGATTAAAGATTTTGCCAAAAAAATTCTTTATAGGTTTCCAATCAACATATCAAAGATTGTATAATTTCTATATTAAAAAGATCTTCATAATAACCTTCAATGGTTTATGATCTTAGATAAAATATTTCACATCTCTTTTGTTGATTTACATTTATATATGTGTATGAATTATAAAGGCTTGATATTGAGGGCAATCAACACAT